CCTTGCTGTTCCGCTGCACTCCCCCAGTGCTTTGCCTCGGTGTGGCGGGATCAGATCGGGCAGTACCACTGGTTCTTGCTCAGATGCTACCTCAGGAAAAGGTGGAATGTCACCTAATTCTTTTTTATACAATGCCTGTGTAGTGTTTCCGTCATCTGTTCATGCATCCTGCATCATTCAATATTTCCCCATCTTTCAAGATTGCAAGTCCAGGCTTTTCCTTGAGTTCTTTAAGTTTAAGATTTGCTGAGCGGTTGGTTTTCTCATTCTAGGTCTTTGTACGTTTCATTATGATATTTGGCTTTGTCTTCTTTAGTTGCCCTTTGAGATTTTCTTTTCAGGCTTTTGACTTCTTCATTTCTTCCATTTGCTTTAGCTATTTTATGATTAAGAGTAAGATTCAGAATCTTTTCTGACATCCACTTTGATATTTTCTTTATTTCCTTAATTGACCTTTTGCTTTCTTCCTGAATAATCTTCTTGATATCCTCCCACAGCTGATCATGTCTCTGTCATTGCTATTCATTGCAGCAAATCAGTTCTTGAGATCTTCTCAAAAGTCAAGTGGAATAGGCTCCGGGTCATATATTGGCTCTTGTGGGCTTGTTTCAATTTCAACCTGAACTTACATGAGTAATTGATAGTCTGTCCCACAGTCAGTTGTTGGCCCCCATTCACTTTAGATGCTGATACTGAGCTTCACTATAGTTGCTTTCTACAAATGTAGTCCATTTCATTTCTGTGTATTCCAGCTAGAGAAGTCCCTGTGTATAGTTGCTTTTTAGTGTTGTTGATAAACAGTATTTGCTATAAACAAATCGTTGGTTTTGCAAAATTCTACCATGCGATTTCCAGCTTCATTTCTATCACCAGGTCCATATTTCTCAACTACTGTTCCTTCTTCTTTGTTTCCAACTTCTGCAGCCCAATCGCCAATAATTATCAGCATATCTTGATTGCATGTTTGATCAATATTTGACTGAAGCCATTGGTAGAATTTTCCAATTCCTTCATCCCTAGTTTTTGTGGTTGGTGCATAAATTTGAATACTAGTTGTATTGATTGGCTTTCCTTGAAGGCAGATAGTATATATATGATATAATCCTATCACAGATAGCATTGCACTTCAAGCTAGATCTTGCAGTGTCCCTTTTGACAACGACTGCAACACCATTCCTCTGGATTGTGTCATTCTTGGCAGAGTCAATCATAGGGTTTACTGATTCAAAATGGCCATTGCCAGTCCATCTCAGCTAATTAATACCGAAGAGGACAATCTTTATGTCTTCTATTCAGTTTTGGACCACTTCCAATTTTCCTTGATTAATGCTTCATTCGAAGTTCCAGTTACTAGCTTCAGTACCCATCTTACCTGCTGATCTTGGGTTCATTAGATTCACCCTCCTGTGAGGCAGCATCCTGATGTCTGATTGGCCAAGCTTGTGATCACCAGCACCTATGACCATGAGTCAGGAGAAGACTACAGCTTGACATTCCACTCTTGAACTTTGGATTTTCCAGCCTCTGTAACCACATGAGCCAATCCCTTGAGATAAATGATAAAAATATCTCTCTTCTTGTCTCCCCTCTCTCTACATATTTATCTATAGCTGTATATTTATAGATCTATCGATATATAGTTCCGATTTTGCTTCTCAAAAGAACCAAGCCAAAGATAATAGCTATTCAATTTAGATGTCAAAATAAACAAGCTTGGCAGCAGATGTTTTCATCACAAAGTGATAAACCAAGGCTTTTTTTAATGGAAGCATATTCAATCACATCGTTCCCAATAAATGTTAATGTAGATATCCTGGAGAGAACAAAATTGCTGTGCCATAACACGATGATGTTTCATATGTTATTGACTTCCTCTCCATCCTCATTCTTTTAGCACGGTCTTTTGTGTACACTTATGTATAACATTAACAGATAGTCACGTTGTCATGTGCTCTCTCATCAATTCCAAATCACAGCAGCCTGAGAAGACAGAGTATAATTGCTCCATAGGGGTTCCTAAGCTGAGACTTCTACAGGAACAAGCTTCCAGACCTTGTTCTACAAAACAAATGATGAGTTCAAATGAACTAATCTTTTGGTTCTCAGGTGAGCATATAACCATTGCACTACTAGGACTCCTTAAACACACTTGAGTATAAAATCCAAACTCATTACTATTAGGTTGAATCTGACTCACAGTGACCATACTTAGAGTTTCTGAGATTGTGAATATTTCCAGGAGCCGATGGCTTCATTTTCCTCTCGTGGAGCAGCTGGTGACATTTGAACCATTACCCATGGGGTTAGCAGCCAAAGAAATACCCAACTCATAACCAGGGCTCCTTAAACATACATGATTATAAATGTGTGTGTGTGTATGTGTGTGTCTTATGGAGAGCTGTGATTTCAGTTTGTGATTATGATCCGAATTCTACCTTGCAAGTCTGGCTAGACCAGAGGATGCACACTGGTACAGATAGGAACTGGAAACACAGGGAATCCAGGGCCGATGATCCCTTCAGGACCAGTGGTGTGAGTGACGAAACAGGGAGGGTAGAGGGAGAGTAGGTAGGAAAGAGGGAACCAATTACAAGGATCTATATGTGACCTCCTCCCTGGGGGTCGGACAACAGAAAAGTGGGTGAAGGGAGACATCGGACAGGGCAAGATATGACAAAATAATAATTTATAAATTACCAAG